AGGTTTGAGGCCATCGCTCTTAGGTTGGAGGCCAGCGCTCTTAGGTTGGAGGCCATCGCTCGTAGGTTGGAGGCCATCGCTCGTAGGTTGGAGGCCATCGCTCGTAGGTTGGAGGCCATCGCATCGCTATTGGGTTTGGGTTGGAGGCCATCGCTCTTAGGTTGGAGGCCATTGCTATTGGGTTGGGGGCCATTTCTCTTAGGTTGGAGGCCATTGCTCTTAGCGTGTTTACAAAACATCTCTTCCCCAGCTCTTTACAGCTCAAAACCAGGGCCTCGCCGAAGTTTCCGATAGTACGCTTCCAACAGTAACGAAGCATCATATGCCTCTGCGCGGAACGTGTCACCCCCACCAGGCCTTACCTAGCCTTTGTCTGGCCAAAAGCTACATCAAGATGAGTATAACAAGGAAAAGAACGAGAACAAGAAACAAGTAGGATGCAAGTTAAAACAAGAATGGCCAAGATAAGAATCAGCTACTCTTGGACTACCAAACTACCTACTCTTCCCCCCACTTACCAGAAGACTGTCTTTACTAGAAAACCACGTTCTCTTTGTCTGTATTTCTGAGCCACTCCCCACCGACTCCGCCAGTGTGGACTGCTTGGCCGCAACGATGAAGCCCTTCACCATCAGCGAAGAAATCCACAAAAGAAAGCATGTGTTTGTAAAGCCGTATACAGTGCATCTGACCTTTAGACCTTTCGAAGCTATTAGTAACAAGTGCATCGCTTCTAGTAACAAGTGCCTTACTAGTAGTAACAAGGACGCTACTAGGAACAAGAAGCTACTAGCTTTCTTTAGACCTTTAGACCTTTCTACTAGGAGCAATGTTCGCTACTAGGAGCAAAGGGCATCGCTACTAATACTAGGAGCAAGGACGCTTCTGGGGGCTTGTGGCCTTACTACTAGTAACAAGGTTCGCTACTTACTAGTAGCTTATAGCTTCCTTTCCTCTTTTTCTTTAGACCTTTAGACCTTTCTGTATTTGTTTTTTTTACATGCAAGAATGCTTCACATAGTGTCACCGTTCCCTCTCAAAACCAACTCAAACAATGGGGAGTGTCAGAGAGATGGAGCTCATATACTTGTTGGAGACATATTGGGAAACAAGGTCATCTTCATGCTCAGAGCATCTCAGTGTTTTTAGCTATCTTGTCTGCAAGTCCTTCAGCTGATCCAGTTCCACTTGTCCGGGACCTCAGCAGGGCTTGTGAGGGATGTTGGGTGCAAGCACAAAAATACTTATGAAGTTGTCCTCATTGCCTTGCTGTTTCTCTAGGTCCTCTCTCTCTCTCTCTTAAACTGGGAGGCATGCTCTGACATCCAAAATCGTTTGTACTGTTGGCACACTGATTGAGGATAGACGCAATGACGTCCTCATCATTTCCACCTCAGGGCAAGAAGAACAAAGTGGCTTGTTCCTGGAAAACGACCATGACTCACTCTGATTCACTATGACTCACTATCACTATCTTGAGAATTTGAGTCTTTTTTTTACGTCTTCGTCTCGCTGAAGTCTTGAACATCGCTTCTACCTACCTACTGTAGTAGAAAACAAATATATATGTGTCCAAAAGCAAACCAAGAAAGAAACAAATCATTCCAAAACGCATTGTTTTTACATGGAAATAGCAATTGAGACCACATTCGCCGTCATAGCCGCCTTGGCTTCGCAAGGCCAAGGCCAGGTCAAAGCGGCTCAGCAGCGGGTCGGCCAACCCGGAGAGCTGATGGAGCGCAGATATGAAGCCAAATCACAAAAGAAGAGCCCCTAGTAGCGTCCTTGTTCCTATTAGCGATGCCCTTTGCTCCTAGTAGCTTCTTGTTACTAGTAGTAAGGCCAGGAGCCCCTAGTAGCTATTTGCTCCTAGTGGAACGTTCAAGAAAATACTAATATGTAGTGTAGAATTGATTAATTAATACCATATAGATCACTTGTTTGCATTAGAAAATGCGTGCCAATCGAAATAAAAACAACGATCTAGTATGCCCGGATCACTGAACATCACCTACGGCATCGCTACTAGGAGCAAGGACACTACTAGTAACAAGAAGCTACTAGGAGCAAAGGGCATCGCTAATAGGAACAAGAAGCTACTAGGAGCAAGGACGCTACTAGGATCAACGAAAACGAACATATGAAATATCACCGGGACACCGCAGCGCCCACTGACTGTCGCATGCCCCACGCATTACATACGGAGTTGTAGTGAGGGATAGCTAAACGATCTAAAGCCCTTTGAGCATTCTTAGTGGACAAAAAGAAGGCCATGGGCCATCGCACATGTTCATCAAATTCTCACTTTCTCTCAGCTTTCTTTCATCAAATTCTTTCAAGCTCTTCACTCTGGCCTCGCCTCTTTCAGGGATTGCCCGTTTGGCACAAAGCTTTGGGCTGCAATGATGCTGCAGCGAGCCCTGGGGAGCGAACTGACAGCACTGAATAAAGCAGCCAAGGCTTTGCCATGAAAGATTCTGCAAAATATTCAGTTCCCTCAAACTAAATGACTAGACAGTTTTCAGTATTTTCGTAAATAAAGAACTGTATTTAAGTTTAAAAAACAATAACTATTGCACAGAAAGGAATCTGTCCTGCTCATGATTCCTAAAATGCCTTTGGTTTGGAAACTGAACAAATTGCTCACAGTTTCTGTGGGCTTTGTGCCTGGCATGCCTTCAACCCTTGCCATGAACAAACGCGTTCTTCCGTACTCTGTGTCTTTTTGAAGGGCCTTATTGGAATGTATGTTGTGAGAATGCCACAGTTCTTTATTCGGTTCAAGAAAGGGAAAGATTTTATCTTATTGGTGTGATATTATCTTTGTTCGGAATAAAAAATCCTCCTGTCTCGTCTTTCGCATTCCCCTGCCTCAGCTGACAGGCCACACCAGATTTGGCAACTGAGATACTCTGCTGCTCCATAGCCTTGCAGCCACACGCGAAACGAAACGATACAACTTATATACAAAGAAACTACATTGTTTTGTCATGTGTCTTTCTTTATTGAATTTAAAACCTTTCTGTCTGTCTTTTTTCCTCTTTATGTATTTCTTTCTTTTTAGACCTTTGGCCCTTTTGCCGTTCGGCCTGTGTTGGTCGTCTCAGCCTTTATGAACCTTTATGTGGTTTGCTTCCACAACAACACTGTTTTGTTGAATTGGTATATGTTCTGGCTCTATGAAGTCGATCGAAAAAGGCAAGTTCTGATTGCCATGGCCATGGCATTCCTGGTATTGCATACTGAAGAAGAAGAAGAAGAACAACAACAACAACAACACCAACAGCAGCAGCAGCAGCAGCAGCAGCAAAGCGCTTGGCAATATCACCAAAAGCAGTCGTGCGCTCCAAAGTTGAAGAGTGTCAGTATGCAACAGCCAGTGCAAGCACGGTCTTGCACTTAAGTCGTGCTACTTGAAGAACAAAGAACGCCTCCTGGCTCACCACCAAATCACATCCTACCACAGCCAACTCGCATTTCAATTGTGACATCTGCATGCATTTGCATGCTCCAAAGGTGAGCAGAAAATGCTGCAGGTTCAAACCTTTCAGAGCTGCTTTTTCGATGGCAACTGACCGAAACCAAGAAAACTCCAAGACTGCAGACTCTGTGGCTTGGCTTAGGCATGGGGGGCTTCCTCTTCAGTCGCATTTGCGAGGTCTGCGTTGGAGATGCCAAGCGGGAGCAAAGAAGCGAATAGGTCTTCAGCCCCGTACACAGGGCCTGCACAGCCTCACATCCTCGCTAGCGATCGCATCCAACCTAATAGCGATTGCTATTAGGTTGGAGGCCATCGCTATTAGGTTGCAAGCCATCGCTAGGTTGAAGGTCATCGCTAGTAGGTTGGAGGCCATCTCTAATTAATAGGTTGGAGGCCATAGCTAGGTTGAAGGTCATCGCTATTAGGTTGGAAGCCATCGCTATTACGTTGGAGGCCATCGCTATTACGTTGGAGGCCATGGCTAGTAGATTGGAGGCCATCGCTAGTAGGTTGGAGGCCATGGCTATTAGGTTAGGGGCCATGGCTATTAGGTTGGAAGCCATCGCTAATAGGCTGGAGGCCATCGCAAGTAGGTTGGAGGCCTTGGCTATCAGTTGGAGGCCATCGCTGTTAGGTTGGAGGCCGTGGCTATCAGGTTGGAGACCATCGCTAGTAGGTTGGAGGCCATCGCTAGTCGGTTGAAGGCCATCGCTATTAGGTTGGAGGCCATCGCTAGTATGTTAGAGGCCATCGCTAGTAGGTTGGAGGCCATGGCTAGTAGATTGTAAGCCATCGCTAGTAGGTTGGAGGCCATTGCTAGTAGGTTGGTGGCCATCGCTAGTAGGTTCGCTAGTAGGTTGGGGGCCATCGCTAGTAGGTCGGAGGCCATGCCTAGTAGGGTGGAGGCCTACTAGTAACTTGGAGGCCATCGCTACTAGGGTGGAGGCAATTGCTATTAGGTTGGAGCCCATGGCTAGTAGGTTGGAGGCCATGGCTAATAGGGGCTAGCAGGTTGGAGGCTATTGCTACTGGATTAAAGGCCATTGCTATTAGGTTGGAAGCCATCGTTAGTAGGTTGGAGGCCATCACTAGTAGGTTGGGGGCCATCGCTAGTAGGTTGGAGGCCATGGCTAGTAGGTTGGAGGCTATCGCTAGTAGGTTGGAGGCTATTGCTACTAGATTGAAGGCCATTGCTATTAGGTTGGAGGCCATCGTTAGTAGGGTGGAGGCCATCGCTAGTAGGTTGGGGGCCATCGCCAGTAGGCTGGAGGTCATGGCTAGTGGGTTGGAGGCTATCGCTAGTAGGTTGGAGGCTATTGCTACTAGATTGAAGGCCATTGCTATTAGGTTGGAGGCCATCGTTAGTAGGTTGGAGGCCATCGCTAGTAGGTTGGGGGCTATTGCTACTAGATTAAAGGCCTTTGCTATTAGGTTGGAGGCCATCGTTAGTAGGTTGGAGGCCATCGCTAGTA